TTTTTTTTTTTTTTTTTTTTTTTTTTTTTTTTCATTTTCTTATTTTTTATTTTGAGGCAGAGACTTGCTAAGTTTCCTAGGCCAGGCTCAAACTTGTGATCCTCCCGCCTCAGCATCACAGAGTGCTAGGATTAGAAGTGTGCTCCACGGCATTCTTTCAGGAAGGAGTTGGGGTTTCACCCCTTACAGACTGGCACTCTGGCTTTGAGAACCTCCATCCCTCGTCAGCTGCAGACTGACGGTCACCTTCAGAAGCTGCAGATGGCACAAGATGAGTGAGTGGAGAATGCACCTGCACCATTAGGGCTCAGTAAATGCAGTTTCTTCCCACCCTTGAGGGGCATCCTTGAAATACAGGTGAATGAGGGGCCCAAGGACCAGCCTGGTTCTTTGGAGGCCCTTCTAAGGTCAGAAGGGCAGGGGTCCTCTCCTGACCTCTCTGTTCTCAACATCCATCCTCCTGAACCTTCCTCCCAGTTCTGGGCCCAGGGAACAGGAGGCAGACCCTGCACTCTAGAGTCAGGGAGTTCCAGGTGCCCATCGAGATAGGACCCAATGGCTTCAGAGGCCTCAGGTTAGTTCCCAATCCCTCTCTGGTTCTACCCGCACCCCTCTGAAGTCTCATCCATTGCCACATGTCTTCCCCTGGCCTTACTTCCATGGCCTAGAGTCACAGATCTCATGGACACCCTGGGGCCCCAAGTTGTTCCATGTCACCTGTAGGAAGAAACCCACAGTAGGCTGAGGCAGGGCAGAAGACTGGAACACATCTGGGTCTCACCTTCTCCCTGCGGTTGTGGACTCACTTTTCCTTCTGAGGCAGTGGTAAAGGAGTCACGCTGAGTCATGCTCTCTCTCGCTATGGGCTCCGCTTCTTCCTGGGACAAAAGACAGGCACAGTGGACACCCATTGTCTTTCCTGCTTCAGGATGTATTTCTTTTCTTTCAGACAACATATGGAATTTTCTTAGGGAAACTTGCATCCCCACACTCCTACCCCAAAACTTTTGGGAGGAGGGGAGGAAGGACACGGTTCAGGATTGGCCAGTCACCATCCTCCATTCTCTTGGATATAGTAGCTGGTTCAGCGATGAGACTAAGGTCCAACAGAACCCAATTCCAGGACTTTTAATTAAATTATTCAGAAAATTGGAGCTCTATTCTGAGTTGCTGGATGCCTATATGGAAGATGTGAAATACTGGGAACCGCACCAGTATATTGAAGCCTGAACAAAGGATGGTATAACTGGGAGATGGAGCAAGAGAAGATTGGCATCTGGATCCAGCCATACCTGAAGACAACCTGTCATGTTCTGTTTTTCTTATTGTACTAGTCTCTATGCCTGAGTTCCCAACACAGAGATAGGAGTTTTGGTGAGATGTTTCAGTGTCATTTGCCTGTTTCTGCTTAGACCACTCAGGCTAGGATTCAGTGAGCATTTGTAAGCCAGTTACCTAGAGCTACAACCAGCATAGAGTGAGGGGCTGAGCCAGGCCAACCATCACCTAGCTGGGATTACCAACCACAGGAGCCTGGGTATGTGGCTAAGAATGGGGCAACCCATACCGTACATAGCTCCTCATGAAGACTTCCTCAAGGGGTGAATTTGGGAGCAGACTTCAAGATGTTCCAGTTAATAAATTTACAAAAAGGACCAGCTGAACATTCTTTTGCCTTTCCATCTAACAAGCACCTCGATGTGGCCCAGACACCAGGGCATTGTGTGTGCAGAATTGGTTACATTTCTTAGACATCGGCATTTCTAACACTGGAATGTCAACTCTGTGAGGACAGAAGTCCGATCTAGTGTCGTTTATTGCTCTGTCCCTGGAGCTGAGAAGAATACAGGGCACTCAGTAAACATTTGGGGAATGAAGGAGAAGCCTGGATCCTGTCGTTTCCTTGCTCAGTGTTCTGCAATGGCTCCTCATGGCAGTGAAAACATATAAAAACCTAGACATCTTGCTCTGCCCTCTAAGTGGTGACTGTGTCATTTATGGAACGAGTAGGGACACATTTTGGCAGGTCAAAGGGGATGAATGAGGCAAACAGTTGGACTGGAATAGCAGGAGTAAACCAGAACAGTCCCAGGCAAACTAGGAGGCATGGCCACCCCACCTGCAGGGCCCCAGGGGACTGTCCTCCCGGGCTCCGGCTTTGCTTTCGGCCCCTCCCCCCATCTGGCCACAGGACCTGCCATTGGAATTTTGTACTGTCTGTTTTCTTCTGCGCAGAAGTCCTTGGAGGAGCTGGATCCTTCTTGTCACACTGATCACCGCTGAACATTGCCTGGTCACAGAGCCCTTCCCGGAAGACCCGGCCCCTCCCAGACAACCTCGGCCATGACGTAGCATTCCGTATTCCTCATTGCCCTTGACCCTCTTCTCTGCCTGAGCCCCTGCGGAAGCAGGTGGGGAGAGAACCCTAAATTATAGAATACAGTCCCCCAAGCATCCATCATTCTTCCAATAGCTGCTTGAATTTCTCTAAAGGGAAAGTGAAGCAAACTTCAGCTGGGGAGCTTGGCGAGGAGCAGAAAAGGCAAGAAAAGGGAAGAAGAAACCCGCGATCGGCAGGCTGGCTAAAAGAGTTCTTCTTGGAACTGTGCTCACCACCGGGCCTAGCGAGTCCGCCCCAGAAATCAGATGCACTTTAACCTCCAGCTCTCTGATGCTTCTTTGGAGAGGAGTTTGGAGCCTCAAGTTGAAAGCAGATTGTAAAGCACCCTCCCTCCAACCCCCAGGCTAGAATTCCTAGCAGACAGACTCAGGGATGGTACAGCCAGACAGAAGACACCAGGTTTGCCTAATTACCTCTATCCTGGCTGATATTGGGCTCCATAAAATTTTGATGGCTGTGTTTGTCCTTTGGCTCTGGCTTGCCCTGTGCTCACATGCATGTGTTTGTTTATAGAACGCAGCCGGCAGCAGAGCCTTCATGTGGGCCCTGACACCACTCCTTTAGCTGCTGTAATGGACGACTGGCTTCCCTCCAGAATTCCCAGACAGATTTGCTTCTCAGGATTCTTTAAAGGAAAACAAACAAATAAACAAACACACACACACACACAAATGTAAACCCCAAACAAACAAACAAAACTATCTCTAAGAAACTGGTGATTACTCAGGGTTCTGGCGGAAAATCAAACTCCCCCTATCTCATCTAATAAAGAGATGTTAACAGAAGGATTATTTAGAGAGCTGTGACCAGAGTTAAGGGAATCCAAAAGGGGTATGGAGGCCCCCCAAAACTAGCTCTAGCAGATATGGTCACCACCACCTGCAAGGGGAAGGGATAAGGGAGAAACTGGTGTTACAAGTGAGAACTGGAGCCCTGGAGGTCAGAAGAAGGGTCATTTGGCAGGGGCTGTATTCTTGGGGACATGCAGATGAAGCCCTGAATCAAGGAGAGAGTCAGAAAGAGGCAGCCCAGCCTCAACAGTAGCCTCTGATAGCCTGCTGCTGTTTCCCATCATCCCATTGGCCAAACCCAACAGGGAGCCAAAGGCATGGCAGGCCCTCCATGTGGTAAGGAAAGAGGTGTAGAGAGCCAACGAACAAGAGCCAGCACAGTTTGGTAAAGCATTCTGAGGCGACCCTACCGTCAGTCTTGGTGGAAATCCTTTTTATCCTATCTGCTAAGTATTACTTACTTCCCTCTGTGAGAAGGAGCCTCCCTCGTGGCCTGGCTGATGTTCCCTTGGTCTGCCATGATTTATCCTCCTTGGGTCAGCAGAGTGGTCTTTACCAGAAAACTTGACCTCAGTGTTTGCCATGGTCCCTTTTGTTCTTAGCATACTGACCAAAATCGGACCCCCTGATTGTGAGAGCCCAGATAACCCTCTGGCCTCACCTCTTGTCCCTCACCCTGCCCTACTCCGTGCACTATAGCTAAACATATTGGTCATTTTCCAGTATCTAGAACATCATGCTCCTTCCTGTGTGTGAGTTTTAAATGTGGTATTCCCTCTACCTGCATTGTTGGGCTCCAACTCCAAATGACATAATCCTATGGGTCCTTAAAAAAAATCACATTCCTAGAAATGATTTCTCCTGAGTCCATGAAACAGGCAAAGACTCCCAGTTGGACACTCTCACCACCTCTGAATTTCCTTACTCCACAATATGCATCACAACTATAATTAACTAGTTAGCTTTGTAACTCTCTGTTTATTGTCTGTCTCTACACAGAGACTGGGAGCTCTACAAGAGCCCACTTCTATCTGGTTTACTGCCCTGACCCTTGCCTGACACACACGCATTTCCCCAATACTTGTTGAATGAGAGCAGGAAAGGCTTCCATTTTCCAGTACTGACAGGGTAGATTACTTGGGCCCGTCCTCTGATTGAAGATGACTGAAAACATAGGATAATTTTATTAAAATACATTAAATGTAGCCAAGCCAAAACTGAGGGGACAAGGAAGAATCCAGATAAGTAAGCAAAAGAAACCACTTTTTTCCTGAGGCATTTTCTGACCTTAACATATTTGAATTTTATTTGGATAGTCCCACAGAATGAAAGGCAGAAATTAAACTTAGGGCTCACACAAAATGGGACACATATTAGAAAGTCTATCCCATACTGAGATGGGATTCCAAGAGGCTGCCCCCTTAGTACAAGAGTGAACCAGAAGTAAACCAGCCCTCATATGATCTTGAAATCTAAATGCTCATCTGCTGGATAGGCTAGGAAGCTTTCAAGATTAAGATGTCCTGGACTAGCAGCATTCTTAGATATTTTTCTGGAGCAAATGAAATTGCTTTCCAGTGAAAGGTACCTTTGTCCTAAGTCCCAAATTTTTCTAGGAATAATTTTTTTCAGAAATAATGACCAGCATATGAAGATAATTAAGAGCACAAGAAGATATGATACTATGAGTGAAAACTGGAAGAATCAACAAAAAACAGAAAAAGACTCTGAAAAACACCAAATTATATGAACATAACTGGGCATGTAATGCTTTAACAAGTAAGATATGCTTTTAAAACCTCCAGGGATGGGACTTTATAAATGGTAAAGAAAGAATTGAGAGGAATCTCTAAAACCAAAAACTACAATAATCTAAAGCAAGAACTCAATGGACACATTAAATGGAAAATTAAATACACGTGGGAGGAAAATTAGCAAACTAGAAAAAGAGTCAGAAGAAATTGTCACAAATGTCACACATAAAGACAAAAAGAAGACCAGAAGACAAGATACGAGATAAGGAGGAAGAAAAGATCTAACATGTTTTCAGTATTGTCCATGAGGGCTGGGGATTTAGCTCAGTGGTTCCAGTGCTTACCTCACGAGCTCAAGGGCCCAAGTTCAATG